CTCGGGACGATATCACAATTGTCCCTCGCTCGCTGCGCTCGCTCGTGACAATTGTGATATCATCCCTCGAGCGATAAAACTGATATCACCTCATCCCTTATATGATAACCTATATTTATGTCGCGGTCTCAGAAAAGTATTGCATATCTGCATGCTTGTTTGCTGTCAGGTTGACATGCAGACAACTACACTGTATATCTAGTAATCTTTAATTAAATGTCCATTACATTAAAAATATTGATGGAATTTCGTAACAGTTTTGGGTATTAGATAGTGTGCTATTGCTGTACTTTAAATATCAAAGAATGCGCGATCGGGCCTCGAACCAGCAATACTACAATAGCAGGGTGGTTTTCGTCGTAATACGAAAATAATTTGAATCCAAAAAGGAATAATCGTTTTGATCATTGCAAGCGCCCGAACTACTTAATGGGTTCTGCGGCAGTGTTGGCGCGTTAATGTGGTGAATGCATGGTAAATATATTATTTACCTATTTCGTCTCAATCAAAATGACATGTCCAAATTGATTGTCTATTTTTAGGGCTGCTCTTTACAGTTTACTACAAATTGGAATATCTACGATTTAGGCCCAATTTTTCGACAATTCCGATTTGTATAACCTGTTGGAGCGTCCGTTTGAAATTTCAAGCGTATTCTATTAGATTTCATGGTGGTTGTTTCACCCAGTATGGAAATTCGCAACTGCGCGCTGTCAAAACGAACGTAGTTGTCGTAGTAATGTCAGTATTTGAAAAAAACATAGTGGGGAGTATTTTTTGAAAACTCTGTACAATATTCCAAGTTCAAGTTAAAGATTGGTATAGCTGTTCTCCACATTTACATGTTTGGTTTGTTCAACTCATGTATATGTTGACTCCTCCTCATTACTTGCAGCATTTACTCTCAATGATTGATAATTGTCTTCTGTGTTCATTTTTGGTGTCGTTCATCAGTTCCCAGTCCCACACGGTCTTCTCAACCTTATTTGTTTTTGGTTTCTTTTCTTTATCCTCTTCCGCATCCTCAACTTCCACATCTTCAAGAAAAAATAACAATATAACTGATCGCGTAACTCTATAACACTGAACAAAATATAAAACAAGTTAAAATTTTAAAAACTGTGGTATTCCGTTATCTATTTCGTTGCCTTTCGTCGTTCGATGTGTTGCTATAGTGGTCCTGCTTTTGAAAATGAAAATAATATTAAAAAGGTCTGAATATAAAAAAGATGTTCCTACCCCGTTGTCGGTGTACACATAGCTACAGTTTAGAGCAATTCTTACCGACTATAATATCCAGACAAATTGGCGAAATAATAGCTGTAATCTTACCTTCAGGGGATAAATATTCACGATCTGAAGATTCATAGCCCGACAGATCATAGTGTTAAACGATTATAATAGCAATCGTAGTTGCATGTTATATGTACCGTTTGATCAGAATATACATGTATGCAAGAAGCATATATATGAGGAAGGATTGGGCCATCCTGATGATTTTAAAATGCAACAAACATGCATGCATGTCTCAACTACTGCGATGCGTAGTATACACTACCAACTATATACTTACAATTTACAATTAATTCAATTTCTGTGTCATTCTTTGCAACTTCGTCTCTTTTGGCACTAAAGACATGCAATATTTGTTCTTCTTTCCGCCGCCACTGTGAGAAACCTACTTTGTCTTCGTACTTGCGTGCTTCCGTGCGTGCAGTTGTTCTCGGAATGAATTCAGTAGGAGCTAGAGCTTTTCGAATACCACTGTATTCTAAAATACACATATTCTAAATTTCATTGAGATTACTGATTACATAACTTAATAATTAGTACACAAACCAGAGACAAAGAAGGGGGATATTTAATTGCAATGACCTTTAATACAAATAAATACGGTTTTATAGACGAATAATATCAATATTTAGTCAATATTGAATAACTCAAAAGTCTATTATAATACTACATAGTTACATACCTTTATGCTTAAGGAATATTCCAGTAAATTGGCCACCAAACGCTGTAATATGGTGCGGCGTTATTTTGTATTGTGCAAAGTTCTTCCGGTTTTGATAGTAATTGAAGCTTGATATGCAAATATGAGACACACTTCCTGCCTCCTGTGAACTTATCATTTTAGCTCGAGATCCGCCAGGAAGGCATTCCTAGGTTTTTGTGACGTTGTGCGCTTTTTTATTTGTCGATTTGTATGTCAGAAATAAGATAAATTATCATTAACATTTAATACGAAAATTTGTGGAATCAATGTCATATGCCAAGGACAAATCCATCAAATTTTGGTTGAATCACAAAATATTTTCTGCTTGACTGGACTGGATGGGGAGGTCCAGTATTCTGCATGGATATTCTTATATGATACAGGAAATTCATTGCATGTAACATGCTTCATATCTTAAAGAAATTAATTTAATCCTCAAACAAATTCCATTCACGATCACTGTTTTGAGACTCTTTGAGGAGGGTGGGAAAGGGGGGGGGGGTATGGATCACGTTTCACAAAAAAAAGCCGTTTCACGTGTATTAAAAAAGCAATTTCACGGAAAACTAGATTCTCATAAAATAATATAATAATAATAGGTTTATTAAGACTATGTTTAATGCATGGTTCAGTATCTACGCTTTAAGTTCTCTCATTTCTCTAAAAAACTACATCATAACTGACAGGTTTGCGTGACGAGAATGTACGACGACCTCCGCGCGTGTCCTCAGCGTGAGGAACCTTGTCCTCAGCGTGAGGAACCTTGTCCTCAGCGTCAGGTCAGGAACCTTGTCCTCAGCGTGAGAAACCTCGCGAAAGGCGTCCGAAGTTTTTCACTTGTGCAATCGAGTGAGATCATATAAATAGTGATTATCGCGGATCATGTTTATTATAATAATCACTATAATAATTACAGTTCACGAAACAGGCATCCGGAGCATTTTTATCAACAATCACGCCTCACGGCTGTAGAACAAATCACATTTCACGACACTAAAATCAAGCATTTCACATTTCACGCGAACAAATATTGACCATTCACGGCTTACGAAAATACCCTTTCCCACCCTCTTTGAGCCCCTTGATAAATGTAGTGAGTCTATATAGTGTTTTTTGAAGCAATAAAGGTATAAAAGTACATGTTTTTTAAAGCAATCTAAAGTCGCACGTCAGACTGGAGTATTGAAACTGAATAAGTTGGGATTCGTAAATGTATTTTATTGAGGAATTCAACATTAATTTAGTTTTCCCGACAAATCACGTACGACAATGTGCAACCAATTATCTCATCTCAAATTTCACGCCCGCAAATTATTCCCGCCCGCATCGAAAGGCCTGCGGAGGAGGTAGCAATTATCTGATATTATTACACGGTTGCTATATGAAATTTAATAATGGTTAATGCATTCATAGAACAATACCATCATAACAAATATTACATAGTTATATATATGAATGATACCTGCTATAAGCAGTATTCCTGTAAACTTTAATACTTTTACAATACCTAGTACCATCTGTACTGTCACGTACTGTTCAAAATCGAGAAGCGGAGAGGATGTATAATATTCTGCGGGTTCAATTTCTTTGTTTCATATTTGCCACGGCCCACGATGAATGAATTTTTCGTTTCAAAAACCGTTGAACTTTAACTCAACGTAATGTGATTGTCCGCAAAATGCGAGTCAAAGTTTTATTTATATGTAGAAACCACTGAGCTTTACAATAACTGGAGGACCTGTCCTATAGTTCGTTGAGTCAACCAAGTGAAGTAAAAAACATGGTAGCCTGATAACAGACCTACGTCACAGAATAAGGCACACAGAAGGGCCACTTACGTCGGAAGGTTTGAAGTTTCTGTCACCCTGGCCGCCATCTTCCTAGCCAGTCGATTACATTTTCTGGCCAATAAACGCGCTGTATATTGGCCTTCTGGCCAGTCAACTGCATATTTTTGCATAGAAAAATGGCGACACGTTGCACCGCTGAGTGGCCCTTCTGGTACTGATCTTTATTCTGTGGCTACGTTCCACCCGCCCTAAAATTCGTCGACGGAAAGGGCGAAACGTAGGTGTGATGAAAATGTTGTCAAAAGCGCCTTCCGCCCACTTTGCCTTTTGCAATAATTAACGATGATTGACACATACATGTAACACCTAAAAATACAATGAAAGTTGTCGATTTCACTTTATTGCAAGTTTGTAAACTAGTCAAGGGTCGATATAAAGTACAGATATTCGAATAAATATTTAAAATATTGGTAACCCCATGGAGCCCGTAGCTTTTATATATATAAACTTTGTAAATAAACAGTTACAGCTATAGTAATAATACAACATTTTCAACACATTCTATAAATGCGATAAAATCTGCCTACGGAAATTTGGCAATGGCCATTGTTGAATTGTCTATCTT